CGGATGGAAAAATGGCAGCGGAAACACGCAGTGGCAGCAGCAACAACAAAAGACACAAACACAAACACAAATATAAACAACCAGCGGCACTAAGTATAATGTATTTGTGTTGAAGGACACAACCACACAGTGGCAACTTTATTGCCCGTGCGTGTGTGTGTGTGCGAGTATTTCAAAGATACAATCAGTGCGCAATTGTCTGCGTTGATGAGCAGCTGAATCTGAGCGTTGTTCCTATCCAGAACTGACCAATTCGCATACAATATATATATATATATATATATATATATATATATATATATATATATATCCCAAAATCCCAGTTCGCTTTTTTTTATGACAAAAAATGCCGCGTAATCACAATGATAATCATGGCACATCCACACGCTTGGCATACACACACACGCAATTCCAAAGAGAGCTGACAAAATATATATATAATACCTATTATGATTTGGCTAAATAAAAAAGAAAAACGCTTTTCATGTTGGTCATGATTGCGAATTTATTTCATATTAAAAGACGGAGATTTTCAGGGTACTTGACTTGCAATCTTTATCTTTAAAGTAAGTATCTTTAACTTTAAGTAAATAAACAATATATTTATAATATCCTTCAAATTTAGTAGTATAACTTTGGTAACTTTAATAAACTATCCATTTAAATGACACATAGAAGTTTTGTCAAATTCAAGATATATAGATAAATTTCTTGAGACAACTTCTGCAGGCGTCACACTTATTACAACCAAATTCACAAGAGTATCCCTGTATTAATATCAAAATATGCTTGAAAAGGGACATCAATTTCACAATAATCATTACATTCGTTTTACTGAGCATCAATTAGAACCTCATTACACTCAATTGATAATAAATCATTGTAGGTTTCCCTTATGATTAGCATTAATTTGTAAAAGGAAATTGTGTGAGTCATTTGCAGCATTTTCTCAGAAAACAATTATACCCATATATTTCTGCATCTGATGCACTCGATTGCTCATCAAAGCTTAATTAATATGAGGTAGATTTCCAAGGAAACCTTTTGAAAACATCAACTATGCAGGGCGAAACTAAAATTCCTAATTGCAAGACACATTTAAGTTAAGTTGAGGACACAACTCTTAGCCACATATTTATTATATGTATGTATCAAAGGTATGTCAATCTCATTCAAAGTTAAGCCAGACAACAATTCGCATTGCTGTATCAGAACTTAACCTGCTTTCCCGCTCCGTTGAGCCGCAATGAAGTATTTTAAGCGCATTTTCTTGACGCTCTGCCTTTAAGGCGACAAAAACTCACTCTCTGCCTCAGTTTGAATGTGTAACTTGGGGAAAATAGCAAACAACTTAGAGCAATGTAACATATTCTATTTAATGCTCACACGAACAATGCTCTTGTGAGTCTGTGCTGTGTGCATGTATTATTTGTGCTAAAAATGTCGGCAAGCTGACAGCGCACTATGTGGAATTTGACCCGTTTTCGTGGCCAAAATTAAAATTTTTGAAATTAATAACATTTTTTAATGCAGGTTTCTTATATAATTATGGTTATGACTATAGGAAGCTATTTTAGAAAAGTGGGCGTGTCAACGCCCCCCTCCGCCCACAGAAATCGAAAAAATAGAATATTTAAAGCAATTTTCAAGTTAGAGACCCCAATTTTGGAACACAGGATGAATTTCTTATTTTAAATGTGTCCTGTAAATTTGGTTCAGATCGGATAATAAATGTAGAAGTTATTTAAGAATATCATTTTTTTTGGTTTTATTATTCTACATATTAATTATTAACTTCATCATTGTCATCAATTTCATTATTATTATAAAAAAATAGGTATTGTCGTCTTCCCTAACGTCGATATCAGTTTTAACGGTTAAGAAAACCTTATATTCTGCGGAGTTTGATTGTTCCACAATATATTTCCGGAGAAATTGAACCTCCCTTGCTTACGCCACACTACTAGCAGTTCTGCATTTCTGACCAAGATGTTGCTTCCTAATAATTCAAATTACGCAAAAGACCGCAAAAAACGCACAATGAGCCTATATATTTTGAATTCAGAATTGACAAACCTACAACATGTATATGGACACTCGCTGATACAATTTGAACCTTTTTTTAAAACCCTTTGGAAAGTTCAACTTTATTTCCAAAAGTGACAAATGGACACCACTTGCTAAATGTACAAATTTTTAGAAAAATACGAACGGAACACGCAACATATTAGTATCAACACATAGTAATAACCTGAAGAATTAATATTCAGTTTGAATTAGGTTATTTAATGATTTTATGTCAGAGATATGCCAATTTGAAACTGCACCGCAAAGTCAACTTATAAGACAGCCCGTGGTGTTGGCTTGCAACAGCTGACTTTAACAGCTGTTATTTTAACATTGAACTGTTAAGTTAACATTTTGGGTATGTAACATAGCAGTTTGATCAATTCATAACATGGTATCATTGAAAATACGCAAATTTGGATACTTGCGAAAAATGAGTTTTGGCCACGAAAACGGGTCAAATTCCACATAGTGCAGCGTGATGCCAGTCAGGCAAGCTATGCCCGCATAAGTATGCTACAAAAAGTGTGTGTGTGTGTAGTCTGGAAGGATGCAGACTCACCAACACACTCACACACACGTACAGTCGGGGCTTAAACAAGCATTCGAGTAGTGTGACATATTACAACAGACTTCGCCCTCATGCCCTGCACCGGATATATACATCTGTATATAATATATATAGTCTTTATTGCAGTCTACAGAACTTTAAGCAAAGAAATGGAACTGAAGCTCTCTCTTTTATCCATTTAGATGGCAAAAGTCGCCGCTGAGCAGGATTTCTGTACATATATTTATATATTTTTAAGTACAACCTATGTTGAATTTGTACCCAAACGCTGGAAAAAATTAAATTAGAAAGGAAAAGGAAATTTCGAATAATACCTTTTACCAATTTACAAAATACTTTCATAGTTTTATGTAGAAGATATCCAGTGAAAATTCTTTATGAACACATAATATCCATTAAATGTTTAATTAAGCCTCCTATCAATTCTGTTCACTATTAATTGATAGACATATAACCAAATTAAAAAGCAAGCTTAAAAATGGCACAAAAACTTTTCAAAAACAATTATTTGTGGTGTGAATTTCCCCCAGAAAACTGTAAGAAAACTATTTACTTGCAGTGCATATCCCACACAAGCCGCTCATGATGCCACATTCAAGTGATTCTTTGTATGCCACAATATTTTATTTTTCCACAGAAATGTGTCAATTTAATGGCTTTGCTGTATGGGCGTGGTGGATTTGAAAAACCCCAACCAAAAGCAATGTAAAAATATATATTTTCTGCAAAATAACTTTGCAGTTTCTCTTGTTATTTCATTCCCTTTTTTGTGGTCAGTGTTGCGGTTTGAAAAAATAATATATATATATATATAAAATAAAAACGAAGGCTAGATAGAATTTATACTTTGATGATGCAATTGCAATTGCGTTGTTAATTTTACAAAGTGCGGTTAACCGAGCGGCCAAAATATGTTGGCAGCAATAAAATTAACTCACTTTGTGAGTATGCAAAACAAACAATAAAAAAAAATGGCTTAACATTTGTTTTAAATGTAATTGGAATATTCTGCGAAATTCGGATTTATTATGTTGTTCATTTTCATTAAGCTCCTCGAAACTAAAAATCCCGAGAAGAACAACCAAAGAATATCCTGGGGATTTTTACCCTTAATCGCCCCTCTCACATTGCCCATTAACGGAATCATAAATTATTAACTAGGCACGAAAATCTGCAGCTGGATAAACGCTTTCAGCCAGAAAAGTGCGCTCAAGCAGACGGAGGACCCAAGTCGCGGGAGGCTTTCATGTATCCCAAAAAAAAGGACTCACACACACACATCACAAGGATAAGGACAACGATGATGAAGATGATGATGATGATGAGCCCGATGACGATGCCGATAATGGAGCTTACAACTCAAAGCCAGGGACCAGTTATTTACATGAAACTCAGGCTGAGCCATAGAAAGGACAAGAGTCAACATATTCTGTTGTGAACCATAGTTTTTCCTAGTTCTATTTTATTTTTCCTACCAGTTTTACTTGTTTTGGCACGAATAACAGGCAACGTATCGCTTTCATTGTTTTGCTAGGCGTAATCACAACAATGCCCAAAATAATGGCGGAAATACATTGAATTTTCCTGGCCCAATATCCTGTCCAAAACAAAAAAAAACACACACACAGTATCAATGGTCCAAGAGAGCAACCAAAAATAGGGCAAACCAAGAGTATGTGTGAGTCTATGAGTACACAAATATGGAGAATATATTAAATCAACAGGATGTGCTACGTGATTTGGCAATGGCCAAGATAAATACAAACAAATGCCTGAAAATACTGCTTCACTTGAACTGGATATATATATTTTTATAAAATGGAAAAATATAAAGAAATGTAGCAGCATCCATTGTTATCAAAGTTTTCCATGAATAATTCAACTTATTTCTGCTTTTTGCAAACGAATACGAACTTTATTTTGAGAATTAAATTCAGGTATTATTTGTTTTTGCAATATTGAAACGAATTTAGTGTGTGTTTCGCCTAGAAATGCAATTGCAATATTTTTATGTTAATGAAGAATAAATCCGCCATAAAACTTTGTATACAATTTCATTATAATTTAATATGCAAATTATTTGCGATATATCTTGTTATTTTTTATGCTTTTTAATCTATTATAAATTAAGCGAAAGTATTTTTCATTCTCTTCATAATCCGCCTAGATTGAAGCTTATAATCTCAAATGACTAAATTAAAATGCATATATCGGATAAACTTAGAAATTAAAAAAATAATGTGTATTTTTTTTATAAATTAGCTCCTAACAGCTTAAAAAAATTAATTAATTTCCTAAATATTTATTATTCTATCGTATACTTAATTATTCAAATGTAATAGTTTAGTTAATTGAAACTCACCTTATTCCGCCCACATTGAGTATAATCCGATTTTCGCCATCCATGTTGCATGCAACAGTTGGGGCAACAGCAGCCGCATGCCAGAGTAATTCTTTGTTGGCTCGCAAAACAAATCGAACAAAAACTTCGACACTCTTTCACTGGCTTTCGAGAGTTGTAACCTTTTGTAACCTTTTGAAATTTTTTAGCTAAAACACCCGCACAAACACACACTCCACACACACACACAGGATAGACCCGAACTCGCGGTTCACACGGCGTATGAGCAATGTGAGGCCTTAGTGCGATGCTTTCTAATTAGACTTTTGGCGGGGGCGGCAAAGGTTGCACTTCCGGCTGCTCTTCCGGCTGCTCTTCCGGCTGCTCTTCGTCCTTCTTGCGACTCTCACAGTTGAGTTTGTTCTGCACTTGCATTTGGCGGCTTTGGGTTTATGGTTTTAGCTTTGCACATCTTCCCAGCCATCGTCCCGTGGCCCTCGACGCTTCGTTTGTCCTTTTGACTGAAAATAAAGAGGGGGAAAAAATAGTTGTCAAGGACCTTAGTTGAGTAATGTGCATGTCGAGATTGGGTTAATATCTCTGCAGCAATGCGTTGCATGCCCCAAAGTTATACTTGCATATACACATTTTATATATGCAAATACTTCAGACAAAATCCCAGCTGCGCCCAGCTACGAAACTATTTTCCTTTGACAAACGCAAAATTAATTAGATATTTTTGCGTGGAGGGAATCTCTTAAGAATGTGCTCATGGCAAAAGTTACCCAAGTTGAACTATAATTGGAATTTTAGTTTTCTCACAAGCTAAACTTTGTTTTAATGTACAAGGATTTTCCTTAAACCACTCCACTTTCAAGGTCTCAATTTAAAAGGATTTTAGGCTTGGAAAGTAGGTCAACATTTAAATAACTCAACTGGAAATAGATTATATTTTTATCTGTACATCAAATAAATTATGCATTCAAACAATAACAGAATAAATTCCAATTTAAAATTCTAGAAGAATGAATGTTTTTTGATGAAAAATAATAAATGCCTCGAGTGCGAAGAATTTATTAACACAATTACTTATTCCAAGCAGCTGAAATGTGATAACAAAACCTCTTTTTGAATGCTTAAAATGCGACTAAAAATACACCTTAAAAATGAAAGAAACAACTCATCATTTCACTTTGTCAAATCAAAATGTGAGTAGAAGCAGCTGAAAAGATACAAAAAAAATAAAAGAAATAACGTATACGCCAAGTAAGCCCGACAGGCAATGGAGGGGAAATTTCGGCATAGTACGAATAAAAAGAAAACACAATATAAAGAGGAAAGTGAAAAGTGAAAGTTAAGCCAAGGAAAATGTTGTGCCTCATCACTGCGGCAGTTTTATGGCCCAAAATTGTGGCCACGAATGGAGAGACAGGCTTGCATTGGGAATTTCTAAAAATATTGGGCTTTAGGCCATAATGATACACTGAGACAATATTTTAACTATTTAAGCATAAAAACTATAACTATAAGAAGCACTGGAATCAAATTTTAGAAATAAAAAGAAAGGGCAAAATATATTTATTACATGAAATAGTATAAATCGGTTACTAAATCACAACTTCTAGTTATTTAGCTACACTATTAAAATAAGTTAATTACTTTAAATTAAAGTTTTCTTGTTTTCCAAGTAGATAACTATTAATTTTAAACACCGAAATTTTTACTTTAAATTTTCATCTCCATGTCCCTGTTTTTTTTTGTCAATGTTTTAGTTGCTTTTAGCTGAGTATGCAAATTTTTTACTTGGCCGCACTTTAGCATGGCCTGCGACAGGACTCGCCGAGGAAGGAAGGATGCTGGGGGGCATGCCGGAGCCATGTGTTCCCTGTCAAAATGACAAAATGTTGGTTAAGTGCGACGAGCTCACAAAAGTCAGAGAGGCGAGAGAAAAGAGAGAAAAGTGAGAGAAACCCTAACAGAGAACAGAAAAGAGGTAGTGACAAGACCACTCCACTCCCCGATCTGAACTGACTGAGTGACTGACTATATAAAAAAGGACACTCGACGGCAAATACGCCTGGCTTGGCTTTGGTAAACTTTTTCACAGTCGGAATGGGATTCCAAGTGGAGCAGCTGATGCAGCATTCAAGTGCGTCATCAATCTCGGCGGCGTTTAGAGGGACTTTCCATTCATTAAGTGGCTGCCTACCGCCTGCCGCCATCGAGGATTGACAGGAGCAGTTGGGGAGCAGGTCCACATCGCTGAGTGCTTTCAGTTCGCGCTTTGTCTTTAGGCTCTTGCCTCCATTTCCCTCTCTCACTCCTGCAAACAGCAGCACTTCTTCTCCTCCTCCTCCTCCAGCTGCACCGCCTGGTAGTGGCACTTCTCAGTCGCTGGCATCCTCTTGGGACACGACTCCTCCGAAATCAATCAGCTGCTCACTGAGGCTCACCATGTTCGAGGATGGGTCCTATCAGATCCTTGGTCCTTGTCTCTCGTGTGTGTGTATGTGTGCCAAAGTGAATAATAAGTTCTTGCCAATTTTGTATTGTGATGGAAGTGATTTGTTTAACTGCCTTCGAGGGATGTCAACTTTGGCAAAAGATTCATGTCCAATAAGAGTTTAAATTTTAAAGGAATTCTAGCCTTAAATGTACTCAAACGTACGTATTTAACGAGGTTGAATACCCTCTTCTTTTTGATCATTCTTATTCAAAAGTGTCTAGCATTTATATAAAATTGCAATTTATTATCTCATTTCAGTCAGATTAATCAGACCTTTTTTCTGCAACTATAAATAAGTGACCCGAATAATCAGAAAATGCACAAAACAACAATTTTAATTGTATAAACGCAACGTCACTCATACGCCACATTAACCCAACTGGTTAAAGCAAAACCCTTTTCGGAAATCAAAGTGAAAAATCCAACTAAAATGCTGCAATGAAAATGGACGCACAGATAATGTCGACTTCGAGTCGAGAAATTCGAAACGAATGGAAATCCAGGGCAGGAGCCTGCGGGAAATGAGGGGGAAAATTCGAAACAATGCTGACCCAAAGTCCGATCGAAAAGAGGAAAACTTTTTTGCTGCAAAACAAAAACTATGGCAAAAACTAAACAGAAAAAGTTTTCGGGTCAAACAAAACGTTTCCCCTTCGCTGCTGCGAAATAATGTGCAAATGAAGAGTGCATACAAACACACATAAATCGAGTTGCGTTTTCCTTGTAAATTAGGGATGCCAGGATGCAAGGACCAAAAAGGGGGTCATTCACGATGGCGAAAATCAATGGCCAGGAAGCATACTCTTCCTTGAACATCACTGGGAGAGAGCAAGGTCATCTCCGCCACCATTGTCCAATTGTCCGGAGCGGAAACAACCGGAGCCAAAAGGCGGACCCGGGACTCGGCAGGAAAGTTGCACAAGGTTCGACAGAGGAAAACAGAGGATGTCATTTTCCTGCCTGTCATTGGAAAAAAAACAAACATAAAAACTTGAAGAAAATTGAGAAGTACTGTCTATTAAATTCTTTAAAGAGTTTCCCAAAAGTTTTCTATTAAATGTTCTCGTGAGAAATCTCTTGAATGTCATATTTATAGAATATTATTCAAAGGATTAATCTAACTTTCATTTATGAGTAAAGCAAATAAAAGATTAAAGAATAAATTTAAATACAGAGCATACCAATTTCAAGTCTTGTGAAAAGCAGCTTAAACTTTAAATAGTAAAGTTAGTTTCGAGAAATTTTTAAATACAAAAATAGGTCTGTTAGTCTTAAATATTATAGCAGAAAAAATAAAATACACTCCCTCCTTATATATTTAAATTATTTTCGTTTGTGTGACAGAAGTATATATATTTTCCAAAGGATAAACTATTACTATGTCAAAAACAGACTCTGATTTAGTCAAAGCCACGAATAGATAGCTTCTCCTTCATTTCAGTATCAGAAAATAATGCAAGTGAACGAAGAGAACGACAACTACATCTGACTTGTTCGCTTGCAGGCAAAAATCCAGGCAAATGACAAAACATTGCAACTTTTGATTTCATCTTTGTTGTTTTCGCTGCCTGCCACAAAAATGCATTATTTATCAGCTTCAAAGAAAACTTCCGAACGCGAAATTCGGTAGGAAAAGTTTTTTGTAAACTCGAACGGGAAAATATGAAAATCAAATGGGACAGCTGAAGCCAGTTCGGAGGATAGTTTTAGTTTGAACAAAAACTTTTCTATTAATAATGTTGGAATATATTTTCAGGAATTGTAACGACAAACAAATGGAATATGTGCATTGTGATGCCTTCCTACCTATTCATACATATTCATGTTTGGAAATACATATTCTCTAGAACTAAGAAGTTTCCTTACAAACAAGGACTACATCTGCATCTCGAATCGCGAATCCCTTTTTAATGGCTAGAAATACAGGACAATAAGTCGACCAACAAAAATCGGACGCTGTCCGAAACAATAAAAGGAAGCCTCAATAATCCGACACTGGGGCAAAAAGAGCATTGGCCCATGATAATAGAAAGAAATCCATAATTCGCTTGTCTGCCCAGCCGCCCACAAAACATCCTTAAGGACGAGGGACAAGGAACAAGGACCCGGCGTAATCGCAAAAACATTGGCAAAGGCAAAAGGCGACTCAGCAAATGGGGCGCCTAAGTATATTTTCCGGGAAACGCGGTGCGAGGAAATTCGTGAAAAATCGAATTATGAATACGCCGAGAACACAACACAAGAAAAGACAGGAAGGGAAATTAAAAAAAATAGACGAAGTTTATATACCCTTAAAGATTTCATTTGAATTATTATTATATTAGCTAAGTTTATTAATTATTATTCGAATTCTTTGAATCAATATTTAGCGACATTTTTATATTACAATTTTTACGACAAATCAAAGTTTAAAAAATTCATAACTAAGTCAAAAATGCTTCAATTTTAATTCGGAAAACTCTTCTACTCTTGTTTTTATTAGCTTAATAAATTTGCATCCTCAATTTGAAATGTAAAAAAATTCAAATTTTTACCATTTTTTTTTAATTTTAACCCCTTATAAAAATTGTTAAATTGTGAAAAATTTAAATTTTACTGAGACATAGCTAGATCGATTTGCCTGTTCAAGCTGATCAAGAATATATATGATTTATAGGGTCGGAAATGACTCCTTCACATTTTTACAAGCTTCTCAACTTAACTAAAATACCCTTTTCCAAGGGTA